ATACTTTATGTTTTACTGAACAGAAACTAGATTTCAAGTACTACTTCTTTCTTTCTCCTCTACCCTTCAGACAAATGCATCGACGTTACCTTCACCACTAGAACATGATTTCCCTTGGTTCCTCCAAGTGGCTTACTTTCTTGACCAAATGTATCAAGAAAAATCGTCACACTGGTATTGGGACTGCGAATGTAAGGCAACCTAAACCCAAACCATAGCACAATTGTTCCAGTTTGGGACATTGAGGATAAACGGGTCTCTTCATTCCTATTTGAACCCTCCTTTTGTTCCCTACCTTGTTGTGGACATTTCTCTCTCCCCTCTTGGCTCTAAATTTCTTTAAATTCATGGATAGTTTCTTAGGGATCTTCACACTCCTCAGGTGCATCTTCTTCTAAAAGGACAAATAAAAAATAGGAATATACAAACAAGCTTACTTGTCAACGTTTTACCAAAGTTCATACAATTTCCAGGGAAGTTAAGATTATCTTCAATCCATGAATAATATATATAGAAAAAAAATCCAGGTTCCAATTTACCTATACAATTTCAAATCACTATGAGCGCAGTTAGCAGAATTAAACCACTAAAAACTTTCAATTTAAATTCACAAATATAACAGGTAAAAAGGACAGTAAAAACTGGAATATTCCATAAAAGTCATGTATTCATAGGTATGAAATATGTCATCAAGTCTTTTTACTAAGTCTAGTTTAATGATCATTAAAGTTAATCAAATTGTGATTTTGAGCTACTTTGTAAAGAAAACTTACGCAATAGAAGTAATTCAGCTCTTATTCAAGTCTTACATAGAATCATTTGGTAATGAACACTGTTCTAGAACTTGTATACTTGCTAAAATGATGAATAAGACTAACTACCTTATGCCAAATTTCATATCAATTACAGCTAAAGTGTGAATTTTTGTCAACATCAATACCCTATGGTTTTGAGGTGATTATATAAGAATGTTGAATGATGAATATTAGAATGTTTCTATTTCTTTGCATTTATCCCTTAGAGAAATTTCAGTGGCATTCAAAATCCAAATCTTATGGAATATACCAAAAATCATTCCCTTTATATCAAAGAGGTTTTCAACCATTTACTATGTGTCCACTGATATTATCCTGTCATTGTAGGGTACAAAGAATTGAGATCACCAACAATCTTTTATTTTTTATAGGAAAGAGTCTTGAGTGGTTCAATTCAAGTTCTTTTCTAAGTGTTTCAAGTGAAATCTAACTGCCCATTAATAATATAGACAGTTGGTTATCTGCATTGTCCTAAAATTCCATTAAACCTCCTGTTATCCCATTGAAGGTGGAAAGTACCTCACAGGACAATGAGCAATCACCGGCTTCAAAGGGTAGAGCTTATGACCTGTATAGATATGTAATGAGCCAGAGAAGGTTTTCTGAGGTCCATAATATATGGCACCAAGATATTCTCATAAGAGAAGAAAGAGGTAA